GACGATATCGGAGAAATATCAGGGTACGGAATGATTCTGCCCTCCGAAATTCAAATTTCAACACAATATGCTCCCAACTGCCAACACGTTGGGCAACATAAAACACAATGTTCAGTAATTTGTGTCTCCAAGCAAAGTGATCGTCACAGAAATGAAACTGTGGTCTTCTTTTGTGATGTGCAAAAGGCAGATCAGATCTTTGAATGGAAACATTCACAGTCTAATATTTTCATCGGCATCGTTCTCACTTCCGCAGTGACAGTGTTCAACATGGCCGTTTCATTGCAAAGTTACAATGTTTAATGATAGGTCTGAATGTTGTGTAACCCCCCCCCCTCGAGCGCAAGCTGTAAGTTTAATCCATTGCGAAGTGATTGCAGGGAAGCTTCACAAAAAATGGCATAAACATCCTCTTCGCCTGTTTGTGGTAAAACATTTAAAGATATCGCCGTAGCACAGATCGGCTGAAATTTCCACCGCAATTGGATACTGACAGTGTCGGCAAACACCTTTGAAGTTAATTCCTAGACCATTAAGTGTCTTTTTCGTGAACTTTGCCGTTTTCAACTGAACCTAAATCAAAATAATATAGTTCATTTCCGCCAACTTTTCCCAGTTGCGTGACAAGTTGTTTTGTGACAGTTACGCTCTGGCTGCAATGCCTTTGCTGCTTTCGGCCTCGCTTTGAAGTCTGAGGAAGGAGATTAGCGAATTTATTTCGTAGGCGGTAGAATCGACCGGCGTCTCCTTCTGAAGAAAATGTGCTTCAAACATCTTCAAAGAAATCTCGTGAATAAGCCGTTTAAGGTTTAGCGATAACACTCGAGTTTAATGACTCTACAGGTTGTTCCCAAGTACGTGAAAAACTAACTTGTTAGCAAGTCCAAACAGTTTCTGTTTTGCACATTAAAGAGCCCTTGAATTGCACTGTTGTATGTTTCAATTTAATCTCATTTAAATTTCTGGGTTTTCTCTAATTTAATCTGTATTTTGGAGACTTTTGGTTTTTACGCTGATAGAAACTTGCATATTTGTGAACAAAACAGTAATGTTATCTCTGGCTCTGAACCTCAACGTAACGTTGAATACGGGCGTTTCACAGCAGTGCGCCCCCAAGATTTTGTAACGCGTTGAAATGAGTTGACGGTTGACCCTTTCCAAACGCGCATTGCGTGTAGACAGATCTGGACGTGTCAGTCAACCCATTCAAACGCGCATTGCGTACTGTGACCACTGCGTTACTAACTCTTGGCTTATGAAACGCCCGTATCAATTGTGCACAAAATCTGTTTTCCTGTCGTAAATTTCCATTTCTTTTGTCAATTGCCGTTGTGTAAATACATTGCAATAAGCCAACGAGCACTCGCTTTCTGGGAATTTTTTTCAGCGAGCAAATTTGGGGTTAAAAATATAACCATGCAAACATGTCACTTCAAAAGTATGTGTCTTCCCTGATTTACATCACAGCAACAGTACCCCCACTTGTCCGAAAAGGCTTCTACAATTTTTCATGTTTAAAAAAAAAAGCACTTTGAAATAGGCCTACATTCAAATCCGAACGGATTTTCAAACAGTTCATGAACTGAACAAGAGTGTAAAGGTGTCCAAAAAATGAGTCTAAGAAAAAAAATTAATCGGATCCTTAAAAAAAAATCAAATCAGAAAAAAATTCCGTCACCTAATAACCTAAGCACTGCATATAAAGAGGCAGGACTCGAGAAGGGCAAGATAAAGTCTGAAATATCTGCATAGCCACAATCGTTGATTTTACAACCTTTTTTACCCAACAAAAGGGTGTTCATTCTGGCCTACTGGTTTTCAGCTCGACTTTTTGAAAGAATTTGAATGTTCACTTGCTATGGGTGTTGGAAATAATCCAGAGTTATTTAAGTCATTAAAGATCTCCTGCCTGCCTCCGTCGAATATTGGGTGTGATTAGGAAGAGGGCCACGCAGTCACGCGAGGGTGATTGAATCCACGAGGCTGGCAGGCTGGCCCTGATTGGAAGCCCAGCCAGGAGCATCTCTAAGGCGCAGATAAGGCTGGCCTGGTGGGGTGCCCAGTCCAACGGGGCGCCCCGCTAAAGATCAGAGAGCGACTCGCTTGTAATACTAATCTACTGGAGGGAGACTAACTAGCATCTTTGGAAAAAGGTTAAAGCCGCGCGCGTCATCATATCGGGAGAAAAACCATTAAATCCTCAACATCAAGTTCGAATATTCTGAATCTTTTGAACACGAAAAATATGCCCCTGTTATACCAGAGTTATTAGTGGGGTTGTGACACTTTCGCTCCTTCGGACACGCCATGGCGTCTCCCATCAGTGCACACTCTATGTACTAAAACAAGGGCTGTTTGCATCCCCACGCGTAAGGGCCATTTTGTGTCCAGGCATCTAATAGTGGTTGTCGTAATTATCTGTAGTTCTGATTCTTGTTAGCCTGTACTTCTTCCACATGGATTCGCGGCATCTTTTTACATTCTGCAAAGGGCACGAGGTTACTATAGAAAAGATATAGACCAACAATAATAGGTAACGACTTATTCACTTGACTTATCGACGAGAGAGGGCGGGCATTTATCATTGGCACAACACACTGGGGGAAACCGACTTGAATGAACTGGGCTTTAATCATGGCCCTGGGTGGTTTTTTTTTTCAAAGGGAAGTCGGACTTTCGATGGGAAGATTCCAAAAGGCGCAAAGACTAGTCTCCTCTTAAGACTGGCAATAAAACATGTTCCCATATAGAAAAGTACGCGGTCTAGGCTGCTAACAGACAGTTGTGTTATAAAAATGAAAAACCGAAAAACAAATTAAAATAAACCAAAGCCACAGGCAAGCTGGGGCAGTCCATCCAATGTGTTATCACTCTCCACAACACCTTTAAGATGTCTCGATCGACACTCCTGAGACTCCCAGTGAATCTCAGCGTGCTGGGCAAGGGCAGCATCATCTCGCTAATCAAGAAGAGGACAGATACAACAACAAGCGAGGTGATAGCAGCACGGTGCAGCGGCCCAATCTCAGCAAGTCTTGAAAGAAAACCTCGGATTGCTAGTAATCAAGACGGGGAACTCGGGAGCGGGGCTGGGTCAGTGGATTGCTCGGCGCGCTCGCCGGATAATTGGGCGGTTGATGCCTTGCCAGGGCGCACGCTGATCAGCCGCATTTTCCAGCAAGTCCTCCATGCAACTTCATTTCTAATATCTCTGGGCAAAAAGATTGAGGTGTAATCGCCAGAACTTAATTTGGAAACTTTTAAAACATCCCGGGTGGGGGAAGAGAAAAACGTCACGACATACCAATTAACGGGCCGAATTATGCACCCCAAGTGGGAATGGAATGATAGAACTCATGGCGCAAAGGGAGGTAGCGAATGGGACATTCCATGGGGAGCAGACGCGCCGATGCAGTGACCATTTAAAGAAATGAAGAAAGTTGCGTTATCATAGTCGACAATAAATCCTGTTAATTGTCTTTATCTTCAACGATCCTAATTCCTAAGATAACAGTTTGTGAAAGCGAACAAACATCCTGGGCGTGATATAAGCGAGCCAAACCAGACCCTTAAATTAAAGACAAGAAGTTGGTGTTGAAGTGATTTGAAGACGTAGGCTACGGAAGTGCACAAGGAGTTCATGGCTGGCTCTGTTACGCGATGGGATACGCAGACCAGTGTGCATGAAAGCTGATGTTTGTCTGCTAACGCCAACAATATGTAAAACCGATTTTAAATCTGGTTTCCCGGAGTTTGCGTGCAACAGCTTGTTATGATATTAGGGCGAATTGGATACGTGTTAGTTTGAGTGACAGGTTCAAATGAATTTAACGCAGTGTTCGCCCTAAATGAGAATATTATATTGATTATGAAAAACGAAGAGAACTTAATGAAATGTAAAGAGAACTGTTAAAAAATGAGAAAGTGGGGGTTTAACAGAAATTTAATTTCAGTTTCCTGAAAAAAGTTAAATAGTCTATTTATGAATAGTACCCCTTTTAAATTTACTGAACACAAATGACACCAGGGGTGGGACTCTCTAAGGCTCACGGTGATGTACCGCCTTTAACTTAAGGGAGCGAGCTCATCCCACTTCAGTGGTATGGGTCTCGCCCGTCCACTTTAAGGGTATAAGTGCCATCCTGAATGGTGCGAGTTCCCTCCTTAAGGGCAAAAAACCCATCCAGGATAGCCTCGTCATAGTGAATCCTAAAAGGGAATAAGACCCGACCCCCTAACAACACTACAAAGTCACACATTTCTCTTACTTTTAAAATAGCTGTAAAATCGCTTTGGATTGAAGTGAGCAACATCTCCATAAGCTTCCATATACCAAAATCGAGGTCTAAGCAAAAACACTGGTCCACTCTTACGACGCAAGAATAAAGGATTTTTTAGCCACAATCACTGAATGGAAATTACTTAATAAGTAACCCAAAGGATCCCCACCCAACCCCCCCCCCCAAAAAAAAAGATCGAAAATTCACAAACGGGTGGGTGGTTTTATTCTTTAATATTATATGTACTGAGCTGGGCCTAAGTTGAATTTGATTTTTTTTTCTACTCAAAAACTCTACACTACCATGGAGGACACAAACAATACTAACAACTAGTGTACATTTACGCGTAAGCAAACCCTACCAATTCTGTCTGTAGAATTCAATCGTTAAATTGCTGTCTGTCGGCTTGTTTGGTTACTCGTCAGCCGCGTGGTTAATTGTCCTTGTCGGTTTTATCTTCACGATTGACTGGAGTTTTGAGTCAGTGCGCGTGGCCGCGGTTTTCAACCTTGGATCCCTGGTGTTCTCTCGATGTTCCTGGTGGAAACCCCTCTCGGATGAAGCTCAGCCTAGCCCCTCAGTCCACAGACCCTAAGCCCTGTGATATCAAGGCCTCGATGTGGGTGCGCGCGCCGAGTCGGCCTATCACACCGCGTGACGCTTGCCTGTGTCACCGCTGGCCGCGCTATATAAATCCAAAACACATGCTGGGGCTAGACTTTACGATACGACGGAGCGTGATCCGGTCCCCCGATCTGACAGTGTACATGTCGACAAGAAGTGTTTGTGTTGACAGTTTGACTCCGTGTTTCCGATTCTTACACACTGTTTCACACGTGTGTGAGGAGCCAAGCTGACCGTTCTCGTGTGCACACCAATAAATGGATCTTGGGTCGAGGGTGACCGACGATTTGGTCAGTCCATCAGTCAGACCAGGCAGGACTGGATCAACTACAGCTGATTAATCTTTTGAGACATTACCAACAGAGATCGCCTGCAGCCGCATCAGCTGTATCTTCAAACAATACTGAACCCATTCGCACTGAAGTAGGCGTGATGAGTTTTCCCCTCAATGGCTTCATTATCTCACCGGATGTTTCACGTTCTTGGTCTTTGAAAACCCACCGAAAGGAGGCTGCCTATTTTGACTGACTATAAAAATTAGAATTTTATGACTTTCGATCACCATGGACCAGTCTCGGAGCAGCTGCAGATACACCGAGATGCAACCGATGTCCTACTATGACAACTACCCGGCTGCGAACGGCGACATGGCTCACTACAATACGCTGTCTCACTCCATGTACGTTAACAACGGCTATCACGACAGCCTCCACAACGGGGCCGCGTCACCACTACGGGGAGGGGGACACTGCTATCCGACCCCCGACGGCTCAAACTCCTCGGACAGTTGCCGGGAGGAGGATATCGAGCACGTGCTGGCCCCAGGCTACCCCGGGGGAGGGGAGAGGCGGTGCCTGCTGTGGGCATGCAAGGCTTGCAAGAGGAAAAATGTTGCGGTGGACAAGCGGAAAGCGGCAACGATGCGGGAGCGACGGCGGCTCCGCAAGGTGAACGAGGCGTTCGAGGCTCTGAAACGCCACACCTCGGCAAACCCCAACCAGAGGCTGCCCAAGGTGGAGATCCTTAGGAATGCCATCGAGTATATCGAAAAACTGGAGAGGTTGTTGCAGGTGGAGAAAGGCAACGGGGACGGCAGCGAGATGGAGACGGCCGAGACGAGCTCCAATGCCTCCGATGTAATGGTAAGTAGTCTAGAGATGGTTTCTCGCTTTATCTAATCCGTGCTGACCACACTGACGGCTGACTGACAGATGTACATGCATCAGGCTATATGTCGTATATACTTACATAACACATATCGTTTATTTCCATGAGATTGTTAGGAGAGACAACAAGTTCGTTCACTTACCAAAGGATGCCGCTGTGATGGCTTGTATGAAGCCATGTCAGTCACGACGTTCGCGTGACGTGTGTTAAGTACATGTACATGTACATTTACTATACATGTACAGTGTACGTTATATACATGTTTGTACTGTATATATGCATGATGTACTCTACACCATCTCCATTGTCATTCTGACGCATGCTGCTTGGTACGATAGACTGTTTGACGGTCGCTGAGCATTGGACGATTTATCCATTTTTGTATTGATTTATCTGTGATTTACCGTGAAACACCGTACACTCAGCATGGAAAATAAACAAAAAGTGTCATTAAACGTGTCAGGGTCCATTACTGGGTAATGATATTACGAAAAAGATACTACAAATGAATTAACAATACAGACGTACCGAGAGGCGAGTCAAACATGTCGAAGCAATTGATGATACCGTCAAACCTGAGTTTGAACGGAGGCCCTTAGCAGACAATCCCCTTCCCAGTAAGCACAATAAGCTTTGTCTAATGTCGCCAAGAAAGCTGCCAAATCTACGTTTATGATTTCCAACAGGTCAAAATCACGTTCCCTAAGGGGTTATTAAAATGGAACAAAAGTAAAAACCAAAACTGCATGAGGGTAATAGATTTCCACATAAACTGTGCAATGTGCCATGCTTTGGCAGGCACATCGTCATTGTCAAATTTATGTTTTTACCAATCCATCAAATTCCTATTAGGGATTGAAAAACTTAGCACTGACGGGTTTACATTGATGTACTGGGTGCTAATGAACCAAAGATAGACTGACGATCAACCGATGAGTCTGATTAATCAGATAAAACAGAATTTTAAGGCATGGCATGCATAGCAACGACAGACTGCATATGTCGTAACGCCGATGTTTTATTCTCGTCTGTATTCTCTCGAGGCATATCCGAAGAAATTTTGGTCTTAACACTGGACAGCTCCATTAAGGTTTATCCCTCGAGTTTGTGAAGTTGATGGCATTAACCTGACCTTGGAAAACTCTACCAGGTTCCATAAATTTTCACCCTTTTATCGGAGTTTGGCTTAAGTCCACCGAACATGTCCATGTATAGAAAAACACAAGGGAAATACGACCAGAAGCCGCCCGGTGAGTCAGTGTATCTTTTGAAAGTACCGGTAGTCAACGAATCTGTGTTTCCTCACCGAATAAAGAAACTCGGGAATATGCTTACATTTGTTACTTTAAGCAATTTAGTACTACGTACCGTAATTTGTTGAGACCGATTACAGACTCCATGTCATGCGCACCGGAAAAAGAGCTCGTCTTTCTCAGTTACCTGCGGTTTATGAATAATCAATGAAGGTGTAACTAGAAAAATTAAAAGTTCAACCGATGATCAGGGTGTGACATCACTCATGCGCAAAGGCGTGGGACCGGGGGGAGGGTAATCTTTCATGATTCAAGTTCACCTGGAGTCCAACATGAGTCAAAAGATTACTGACGGTATGCTTAAGCACTGTACAAAACTGGGCCTTAGAGGCAGGAAAAAGGCAACCAGGAGGGTAATTAAATGGAAAGAAGGTCGACACTAACGAGAGGATATCACAGTTTCCATCTTTTGCAGGGATAACTTTATGACTACACTACTGAGTAGCCTTTACTCGTTATTCGTGAAAAGGAAGTGCTGTTTTAGATATTTTTTCCTAGGAAACTGCTGTTCTTTCTCTTCAAGTCAACGATGATTTTACTTGAAGAAAAACATAAAGCCTTTTTACATAATGTTTTTTCAGGACTGAAGGGTCATGGCAGTTGTGGAAACCTCTTTTATGGCATTTACTGTGTTAATTCCTGTTCACCAAATCCCTGTCATAAATCGGTCAATTTCGACCAAGGCTTCCCATTTTTGCTTTGATTGAATCAAGAACCAGTTGATTTGAATACCCTCAGACCTTAGACAGCACGAAAAACAATCTAAAACGATCTTAAAACTTCTCTCCAAACTGTCACCTTGATTTCGAATTTATAACTCTATTTAGCCCCCTGAATGACGTTTATGCGCCATAAAAGTTCAAAGGTTATACAAATTAAGCCGCGGGTCCCCTGCACCTTCACACAGCCCGGAGGCACGTGGGGGTCGCCCACCAGTGACACGTGCTGGGGAGTAACATGACAGATAAGCCGTTTGTCACGAATCTCGATGAAACGCAACACGTTGAATACCTCACCTGCAGAACAGAGAGCCAATGATTTAAGCGAAGTTTGGCCGCATAAAATCGAGAACATGAATTGTATGGTTTTCTGACAAGCTGTATTTTATTTGTTTTGTGAAAGAGCAGCGAGGGTGCTTGGTAATCCCTCTTTCCTACAAATAGAACATTTATAAATGGCTCCAAGAGCTACAGATCACATAATTTTGTTGTTCATTTTTGATCTCTTAAGTAGCAAACGCATTGTAATTAATATACCTGCCATTTTAAGTCAAGTTAACTCACAGTTTTAGCCTATTTTTAGAATTAAAATTAATTTTGTGAAGAGGATGTCAACGTATGGTAATCTCGTTTGAACAACCGGAAAACTGAAAGTTTGCAAGCATTTTATATTGTTGCTCATGTCCAACATGCAAACATACAAGTTTACATGAAGCCTTTTTGACTTGATAAAACATCAATTTTGAAGAATGGCTCTGTTGCCAATTCCATAATACGACCATAAATAAATAAACTGGAAAATAAAAATGAAACAGGAAAATCTGTTATAATGACCTTCCTGTTCAACAGTTAACATATAAAAGTATATTGCATCTCGCTACTTATGCTATATGTTTCTAAGTCACGTCTGGGATGCAATTTAAAAGCCGAAATAATTCGGCTCTGGCGAAGTGACTGTCAGCTAGAGTTAACTGAATTGAACGCTATATAGCTCTCCCTGGCCATCCATACCCCGCCCGCGAGGTGGGCGTTAATAGGGCCGTCTTCGGGGACCGTCAAAGGAAACAGAACACCTGAAATACAGACAATCTCAGTGCACGCGGTGTGAACCTCAATGTCTACCCCCACCTGGCAAGAATCGAGGGCGAGACACATCCCGTGTCGTTTACCTGAACCCATAAACTTATAGAGTGCCCAAGGGCTGGGTTATAAAGTTAGGGAAACTGATACCAAATCCGTAGGCCAAATGCTACGACTCATTCTGTTCAGTCAGAATAAAAAAGCAAGAATAAAAAAAAAATGTACTTTGACTCCGGTAACCAGACCAAATATTTTGATACATAAAATTACTTCTCTTGCCTCGTTCAGAAGGCTGAAAGTAGTACACTGCGGTTACGTAATTGGACGAAGTACGGGGGAAATGCAATAAATTAAGTAATACCAGTTTGGGATGAAGAAACAGAACGCCTGATTTTCTGAAGTTCATGTGAGAATTCCGGATTTCACATGTTGAAGTATGAAATTGATTATTCGATAGTCTCCAATTTGGCCTAGTTTCTCGTCCTGGTGATTGGAAGCAATTTGTAGCATAAGAACCATCATTTAACAGCCAAAATTCGGACAGATTGAAAACTCGTCGGATGAATTTAAAGGTCGTTAGAAATTAACGCCTTCTCCGAGAAATTCTGGCAACAAGATGGAGCATTTTTTTCTCCCAATGTTGACCTGCCTCCATAAAAATGATTACAATTTACTACTAGTGCATCCCCGAGTCGATTCTCACCCGCATGCCGAAGTGGGGCAGTCAGATATGTTTTTCCCATTGGTACTGAATGACTGTCAGAAACGAACAATAAGTGTGATTCTAACTGACAGGTCCGCGCGCTTGCCATTTTTACGTCCGATCGGCTTTTATGATTAAAACATCCCCTCAGTGTATCAACGCCCTACCCTGGCAAATTATCGACACTTCTCTTGTTCATAACTGCCTTTCCATATTGTATTTTCTTTCTTCGTGAATACATGTCAGCGCCCAATCACTCCCAACGATAACAGAAAAGGCAATTAAATATTTTTAAAACATTACATGAACAATATAATTTATGCTGTCGCCACTTGATCTGCGCTTACTTTATGTTATGCCACTCAAAGCATTTGAAAGAAAAATGTCAAAATTTGAAGCAAACCCTACTTAGGACTTGAAGGTTTTCATAGTGAAAGAACTATAAGCGTGAAACGATTGCGGTTGCACTATGGATAAATCTCTTTCATGAGTATGTGTGGTTCTGAGAAGAACCGGGAACCCTACTTATTGTTAAGATACAAAAGTGTGTATGTTCATTGAACGTTTGTTTTGTTTTGTTTTAATGGTCTGCATTCCTTTATTTACTGTTGACTCAAAATACACTGTACTCACAGAGGCATTTTTCCAATTCTTCTCAAAGTATTCGTCTTATCCAACCCTAGAAATAACCGACTGCTATTTTCTACAGAAGTTCCTTGGACCTGTGTTTTGGGTCAGCCTGCGAAGTATTGGCTTACAAAATCAACCTGGGCTCGGCCGAAAACATGTTATTTCTGGTCAGTTTTCGGCCCAGTGATACGGCACACAGGAATAATATCGCTTTGTAAATGAGGAAGGGAACGCAGAGAGGGTGTGCATTGATGCAGTGTGAGCCAACCGCGAACGCCCACGACAAGAACGTGCGGCGCAACAACACGCCGCAGGGGCCTACCCGCGGCGAGCTGCCCCGACCACCGCCGCTAAGGCCAGCCTCACGGGGACTCGAGTAACTGGCGGCCAGGAATCTTTCACTTTCCTCTCATTTCGGGAGTTTAACTGGGTCCCGTCGTGGGTCCCCGGCCCTAGGATTGGATCGCTCGAGCTTTTTTTATACATCCTGAGAGAATCTAATCTTTGATGAGAATGAGAGAGAGAGAAAA